ATCACTTTAAAAAAATATTCAATTTCCCCTAAATATTAAAATAATATTTTTAATGAATCATAATATGCCATCTAATAAATAAAAATAAATATAAAGAAATAATAAAAATAAGAAGCAATAAATAATAGAATATTTATATAATATATATAAATACATTGTATATATACTATATATATAAATATATATAGTATATATATAAATATATATACACTATATATACTATATATACACTATATATACTATATATACTATATATACTATATATACTATATATACTATATATACTATATATACACTATATATAAAAATATATAATAGATGAACTAAAAATAATTAATAATTAAAATAATAATAGATGAATTTTAAAAACATATTAAATATTAAATAATAAATAAATAAATCTAAATAAATCCTAATATTTAATCCATCTTAATATTTAATCTAATGAACTTCCTTTATATAATCTGCAATTTATCTAAAATAAAAATTAAACTGTCCAAAGGATGTTCTTTGGAGAACAATTCCTCCTCAATCTCTGCTCCTTCTGGAGCTGTGGGCAAACCACCATAAGATATTTTTTCCCCATGCAAGAATGTGTTTGCAACATTAAAGAATTGATGTGCATGAGAAGTGTGCATTTAAAAACTTCCTTTTGTATTTTTGGCTTGAAGCAAACTGATTTAAACAGAAGGGGAATGCTCACATCAGCAAGATTTAAAAACGAGGGGTGATTTTATGTAGAAAGGATTGCAGATCTCTGCTGCCCCCCTGGTTCATGACAAATATTCTGATTTTTCTCTTTGGTTGCTGTCAGGGCTGAGTCAGGGTCCGTGGGGGCAGAGTTGAGGAGGTGCTGATCAGGAAATATTTTCTCTGACTCAGAGGAAACCAAGCTCCTTTCTCCTGTCTCTCTCAAGATGAGGAGTGTCCTGTCAAACTGCAGCTTTAATTCCAGGGTTTACGATGCTTTTACAGGCAGCTGTGAGAAAAAAAAAAAATAGAAAAAAAAGGACAAGGAATATCACAGCCTAGGCAGAGAATGAACCTCAAGGTGACAAGCAAGAGAAAAGCAAATTATGATTTCATTTCCAGAGCAACTCCCTGAGCCACAGGAGAGTTTCAATGATTTGAGCCATAACCATTTGAGCTGAGTCACCACAAACTCAATATAATTGAGTCAGGTTGCAAGGAAGGAACTCCAGGCTATCCACATGCTCTGAGTCCCTGCTATTCTCTATTTTTAAAGGGCTGCCTGCTCAATTCATCAACACTGGAGGAGCTGAGGAATAATTCCCTGGAAGTTTTTACCAAGACAAATATCAGCTCTTAAATATTGAATTTTTAAAGCCGTGTTTTATAGGGACAGGTGGCACTGCTGATGGCAGGAGGGCAGGTTTCAGCTCAGTTTATTAGAAAACATCCTTGGATTATAAAGTCTTGGACTATGTCCTGTGGAGAATAGAACTGTTGGAATAATGAACCTGGAGAGGTGGATCAGCCAAACAGAGCTCCCCATATTTCTGTGGTTAAAGTTTAACTGGCTACTGAACAAAAAGTGAGGCAGGTTTCTTATTATTTTATACAGGGTAAAAAACTTCCCTTTATTCCTCAGAGCTTCAATCAAATCCTGACTGATTTCCACTGTGTTAATGAAACATTTTGATTATTTAGGAATAAAACTCAATTTAAAAAATTATATTTATATATTCCTATAAATAATAACCTCAGAGATATCATCAAAGTCTCAAGCAGTTTGAAAAGTAAAATAAAAATCCCAAGACTATAGAAATAAAATCCATGGATCTCAAATCCAATTACTTAGATTATTAATTACTAATTGCTTAAAAGTTTGGGATAAAAAAAAATTCATAAAACCAGAAAAATCTCAGTTCAATAACGTTGCATTGCAGAATTAATATTTTCCCAGGAATTTACTCCTCCTGAGAAATTCTTGGCGATTCAAATCCATAAAAAATTCAGGAATCTCTCTGGCATCACAGGATACAGCAGAGAAGCTTCTGGACAAGAACTCCAGAGATTGTGCCCTAAAAGTTAATTCAAAAAGCTCTGGATGATTCAGGGGCAGGGCTTCAGTATAAAGTGGGATAATGACATTATAATTAATAGAAATAAAAGCTAATGGAGTCTCTGTTACTCTACACTGACAATAAATTATTAATTTGTGTTCCAGGTTTCAGGCCAAGATGATGGGGACTGAGTTTATCTGAAATTCTTGAAATTTGGCTCCAGTCTTTTCATTCAGCAATAAAGGTTCTGTTTGAAATTGTGTTCTCTGATCACTGTTTAAGTCATTTTTGGGGAGTCAAAAAAAATAATATATTCCCTTGGTTTCTAGTCCAGAATAGATTTTTTTCCAGGATTTCCCCCTGTACTTATCCATTGCTTCCCTGAAATGAAGCCCTACTCCAGGTATTTGTTTCCTCCCTGGCAAAAAGCAAAAGGCAAGGAGCTATTCTGTGAAAATATGTGGAATTTAATCAGGAATTAGAGGAATTTCTTAGAAAATAACCTCCTGACAGTACACAGAACCTCCTCACCCCACCAAAAGCCAAGACCAACACCATGTTTTCTGAAATTTAAAGAATTTGAGAGGTTTCCCAAAGGGAAAGGATGGTGGGGTAGCTGCTTGGGCAGTTTGGAGGGAGAAGGAACATATTACAGCCATGTTTTATCACATGGCCATGTTTTACCACATTTTACAGCTTTATCATAACATATTAGAGAGAGATCAGCTAGAGATGGGCAGATTGCAGGCTGGCTGTCAGGATTTGAAGAGGAAGAAGAGGAGTCCAGGAGGAGCTGGGAAGGTGCCAGAGCCGGGCTCTGGATGGGCCCAGGGCCGCGATCTGGGAAGCGCCGCCTAGGCCAGGACCATAAATCACCCATGGACAATTCCAGCGGCCTTTGCCAGGCTGCTTTGGCTGTCACCATGGCAACACCTTTTCCCCAGGGCAAAGTTCAATTATTTTACATTTTTATTGCCACTTCTGTTTGCTTAAAGTTTACCAGAGCGACTTTGTGCTCGGACAGCGCCGAGGAGGAATCACCCTCATGGTACACGGGACTGAAGGGAACCAAATCCTCTGAACTGGGGGGAAAATCTGGGCAAAGATGCCATCCAGGAAGAAAACCTCGATGTTTGCCTCTGCCTTTTGCGCCTGTGTGAGCTCCTTCGTGGTGATCTGCGTGGTGCTGGGCACGCAGCACTGGGTGAGCAGCGAGGTTCGCTTCTCAGGCCCCAGCACCACCGCCACCATCAGCCTCACCTACGGCCTCTTCAGTGGCACCTGTGAGCAGTTCGTGGATGCAGGACTGCAGGTGTCCAAAGCCACCTTCCAAGGTAAGTGCTGGCACGGCTGGAAGTGGATCAGAGCATCCCACACTGGTCTGGGTTTGGAGGGAGCTTAAATCCCATCCATTCCCACCCTTTCCCACACCTTCCACTGTCCCGGTGTGCTCCAACCTGGCCTTGGGCACTGCCAGGGATCCAGGGGCAGCCCCAGCTTCTCTGGGCACCCTGTGCCAGTCCTTATGTTGAGTTTAAATCCATATCTCACATTTCAAAATTATTTAAACTATTTTAAGATGCATATGTCCATCAGCGGCATGAGTAAGATCTTAGCTTGGGTTGGATACAGGGAAGGAATTGGACTGGCCTTGGACACTTCCAAGGATCCAGGGGCAGCCACAGCTACTCTGGGTACCCTGTGCCAGTCCTTGCATCTAATTTAAATCCATGTCTCATATTTCAAAATTACTTAAACTATTTTAAGATGGATAGGTCCGTCAGCAGCACAAATAAGATCTCAGGTTTGGGTTGGATTCAGGGAAGGAATTGGACTGGCCTTGGACACTTCCAGGGATCCAGGAGCAGCCACAGCCTTCCTTGGAAACCCATCCCAGGGCATCAGCATTCTCACAGGATGGTGATGGTGGAATCAGGATGGAATCAGGATGGAATCAGGATGGAATCAGGATGGTGGAAGACAGGAATTCCTTCCCAATATCCAAACCCAAGCCCAACATCTTCTTACTCATACCACTGACAGACACATCCCTCTTATCTCACATTTGAAGTGAGAACAAGAATTTACCTGGTATAAAATAAGGCCCCCAAAGCCCCACAGAAATTCAACAATAACACCTTTACACCTGTGATCTTGGCCTGCACCTTGGAACAAGGGATAAACCACAAAATGGGGCTTTCTGTCAAATTGACTTTGATTTTTGGAAGTTCAGTGAGGCATAAAAAAGCAACACTCATCACTTAATTAAGGGATTTACAAAACTAATTCACCTTCCCATTTCATGATGTTAATTTATTGTTGTGACTTTAAACATTTTGCTGCCTGCTACTGAATCAGCACTGTTTTGATAAAGGTTTGAAAGCTGCTGCAGGAAAAAGAACAAAACACACAAAACAACACCCAAGGGGAGATAAACTTGAAAGCTGCTGCAAGGATCAAGGGTTTGCACTTATTTTATCTGCCTTGCTGCCTCATCAAGTTCAGAGCAATAATGCTGGTGACACACGGGAAAGGGAGAAAAACCACTCAAAAGAAAGCTGCCAAAAATATGAGCAGGTCAAGTAATTTAAAATATGAGATGTGGATTTAAATTAGATATAAGGGCTGGCACAGGGTGCCCAGAGCAGCTGGGGCTGCCCCTGGATCCCTGGCAGTGCCCAAGGCCAGGCTGGACATTGGGACAGTGGGAGGTGTCCCTGCCATGGCTGGGGTAGATCTGGGTGGGATTTGAGGTCCCTTCCAACCCAAACCAATCTGTGATTTTAAGATTCTTTAAGAAATAATTTCATTTTTTGGTAGGCTGTTGTCAGATGACCCAGCACAGCAGATCTAAACCTCCAGCCTAATAAATTAGGCTCTTTCCCAGCCTAATTTATTTCTGAAATTGCAGCAGCAGAAACACCTGAATTCCCACGGTGGGAGAGCTGTGTTGCACAAACCAGTCCCCATGTTGGACTGGATTCCATTTCATTCCTGTTCCCATGAAACCCTGAGCACAGCAGCACTCCCAGCACGAGGTGGAGCATGGGTTGGCATTGTTACATAACAAGTACAAAATCCCAAATCATTCCATCTTATTTTATTACAGCCACGGCAGAATTACGAAAGTGATTTTTTAGAAGGGTAAATAATAATAAAGAAATAAAATCATTTCTATGGGGTTGTAGTTGGCTGAAGCCCCAGCCCTCGAGCCATGTGGGCAGCTGATTTTGATGTGGCTCTGTGGGAAAGGTGGATTCCTGCCCTGGGGAGCCGATGGCAGAGGAGGTTCCAGGCTGGCTGCAGTCCAGGCTCTGTGCCCTGCCTGTGTCTGAGGCAGCTCCCACAGCCCAGTGCCAGGGCCTGGGTGTAGCCACCAGATCAATTTTAATTAGAATTAATGAAATGAACTCACAACGCTCTGGTATCAGTGAAGGGTTTCAGTTTCTGCATGGTCTGCATTGGTGGTGTTGGGTTTTCCCTCACAAGATTTGAGGTTTTGTGCTTATCATTTATCAGATGCTGAGAGAACATTTACAAAAAGTGATCTCAACTCTCCCCATCAGTTATTTAGGGATGAACAAAATCAGTGAGCTGATGGATTTGTGAGTTTCCTTCCCCAGCTGCTGAAGGAAAGCGATGCTTTATCAATAATCTAAATTTGGGTTTTCCCACATCCCCCACTGGTTCTGTCAGGCAGGTATCCAGAATGAGAAGAACTGACTTGAAATTAATTCTTAGGCTCTGGAATAAGCACGATTGTCATGTTTTATATTATTTGCTAAAGAAATCCTGCCCTGGGAGGGTGCTGGGCTGGCACAGGTGCCCAGAGCAGCTGTGGCTGCCCCTGATCCCTGGCAGTGCCCAAGGCCAGGCTGGACACTGGGGTTGGGACAGTGGGAGGTGTCCCTGCCCATGGCTGGGGTTGGATTTCAAGTCCCTTCCCACCCAAACCAATCTGTTCATTCATTCTCTTCCATTTATGATTGAAATAGGAAAAATGCTTCCTAGAATTCCACATGTTCTCTCTTCAAATTCATTTATATTCCTGTCCTCCTAAGGCAGGACATGCATTTCCTTTGCTGATATCCTTAAATAAATGAGTTTCCAGTGCTATGGAGGAACAAAGTGCTGAGCTTTCTCCATTCCAGCATTTCAGGCATCAACAAGAGGAGCTCTAAACATCCCTTAAAATCACAGCATGATTTAAGAGCAGCTGTGCCCTGCCTGGGGGCTCTGCTGTGCACCCCACGTGCATTTCTCAAATGGCATTGTCATGTTTGGGTGTGGGAAAAGAAGGACAATCTTTTGAAAGGAAGAAAAGAAGGGCAAATCCACGACAAGAACTTGGGGGGTTATTTTCAGCAATAGCCCAAGTTGACTTTTATCAGTGGTTGGTCAAAAGCAGATCATCAACACCCTTTACAAAAAAAAAATCAGAAAATCAGAGGTAGAACAGCAAAAACTGACACAGACCAAGGATTTCTGCGGCTGCAAACACATCTCAAACAACAGAGCTCCACTAAAACCTCTAAGATATCTCAGGATGTCTTTTCTCCATACTCTAAAAGATGCCACAGCTTTAAAATTATGATTTTTGCTGTTAAAATGTTTTAATTTATGCCTGAATAGAGAAATTGAGGGGCCAAGTGCAGTTTATTGAAGAAATTGAGGGGCCAAGTGCAGTTTATTGAAGGGTGAGGGGCAAAAACCACTCCCGGCATTTCAAGACATGGCAAATACAGCCTTTGCAATATTTTAATTTAAATAAAACGTGGCTTTGAAGGTGTGGAGTGTTTAAAACTGCCCCTTGAGGTGGAGGTGGAGAGAAGAGCAGGCAGGGCAGGCTTTCCCCTTTTGCAATTTCTGTAACAAAACAAAAAAAAAACCCAAAAAAACAAAACCAAAACACAAACAAACAAAACCCTTATTTGTCTAGAAACCACAACATTCCAAGAAATTTCCAAGCATAAAGATGAAAGACAAAGGAATGCCATTTCTGGCAGTGCCCTGTGCAGGGAGTGCCCAGCCAGGGTGGCTCTTTCCCAGCCTTAACAGAGCAATAAATCACTGCAGCCATTCATGCTCTGGGGATGGCAGAATGCAAAAGTTATTTAATAACCAGGCTTCTCAGAGCCTTCCTGAGCTGTTTGAGTGATTTGTCTTACAGAGGAACCAGCTGGGAGTAAAATGTCACTCAGAGGAGGTTTGGGCACGGCTTTGGCTGGTCCAAGTCAAACAGGGAGAGGCTGAGCCAGGCTCAGCCAGATCCACGCCCAGGGAATGCCAGGATTTATCCAACTGCTGGCAGCCAGCAAGGCCAGCAACACACAAGGAAGGTTTTCCAAATTTACCTCAGCACACAGGAATCATTTCACTTTCTAACTTAAATATCCTCTAAAATACACGACAAAACTTAAATATCCTCTAAAATACACGAGAAAATCTTGGAAGTGGCTGGGATTCATTGTGTTCTCATCAGTTTCCAGGGATCTCCTGCAAAGTGGGGAAGCTCTGTTGAACTCTCTCCTCAGGAATTTGTGTTTGTTTGGGCTTTTCTCAGTGATTAATCCCTGATGTGTCATGGGTGATGGCAGAGCTGTAAAAGCTGCTGGGAAGGCTGACTAAGCTCAGTGAAAGTCTGGAAAAATCCTACCCAAACATGTAAGAATAAAGGATGAAAACTAGGAGAAGATACAGGAAATTAAGGAGATACCTGACCAAACCCTATTTTCATTCCAGAATTGTTGTTTCACACAGATCCAGAGATTATCCAGCTGCAGGTTACCACTCAAAATATTTGAGTTTGATCCCACTCAAATAGATCAGCTGCAGGAGATTCCTTCTGTTTGCACAGACTGCTTTATTTAGAGATTTCAAAAAGAACCAGCTGCCATGAAAAGAGCATTTTCTTTCAAGCCCTCAGCCTTGTGCTGTTGCAAACACGGCTACAACAGCTGGAGGCTGCCAAAATGCCACCCCCTACACTGCAGCTCAGTGTCAGACACAAACAAGATCAATTAGGGGTGCAGGAGGTGCAGCCAGGCAGTTCTGGAGAAGTTCTGAGAGATAAAATTAAGTGAGGCTGCCAGAGGGAAATTACACAAGCCTGGCTGGTTTGGCTCCAGACTTATTTCTTCTGCAAGAAATAGATCACAGGTGATGGCCAGGCTGCTTCAGCCCGAGTGCAGGGTACAACCTGCTCACTTCCATTCCACTGAGTGATATATCCCCTGCTTCCCTTTCTTCCAGGAAAATTGCTTAAATTTACAGCTGATTTCCATAACACAGCCTCACCTGCCAGTGCCTCCAGCAGAAATTAACTTGTACGGCAGTATTGGATAAAATGTGAGAGGAATCTCCTTTTCATTCCTTGCCAACAGCTCTTTTTATTATGTTTATTCCTCTTTATGGGGTTTTTACTATTTTTTTTTCTGCTGTGATTCCTCCCAGTTATGCACTGCCTGAATATTTTGCAATAAAGGCTCTGTTCAAGAACAGCACAGAAGGGGAATTTTCCTACTGAAGTCTGTGTCTCACATCATCTATTTGAACAGAGCTCCAAAACATTGTCACTGTATTTTTTACAATATAAAGCACATTATAGCTGCCTTTTCAATATTTAAATTTTGAGGAGGGAAATAATTCACCTCAAAAAATAACAATTCGAGGGTATTGGATTTGGGTTGAGTGTCTTGTTACCAGAAATTTACTGAGGAACTGGAGGGATTTAGGCAAAAATTGGTGACAGCTCTGAAGGGTTTGGCCACAAGAGCCATGGACCTGCAGCAGGGAATGATCTGGGAACAAGCTGGGGAACAGGAGAGGGAGCAGGATCAGGGATCAGGGCTCAGCCCTGTGGGAACCAAACCCTCCCCAAATCCCACCCTGTCCTGGTGGAAAACAGCAGAAGCTGCTCCTTTGTTGAAAAGAAAGGAGCCAGGCCTGCCTGCACCAAGATTTTCCTGCAGGGCACGGAGACAGATGCAGTCAGGAGATGAGCTCAACCATCCTCATCTGCCCATGGATGACCCCGCTCAGATTTATTTGTCCTGCAAATGCACCTGACCCATCCAGGCAGCATCTTCAGTGGGCTTTGGGAAGGTTTTCCCTGTCACATTTATTGCATTTATAGCAGCATGACTGCTGCTATTTTTAAAGGAAACACAACTGGAGCAGAGCTTTAAACTGGAGCAGAGTTTTAAATAGGCATTTGTGGAGGTGACCAGACACTGGCAGAGGAACACCCAGATTTCTGATCCAGTTCAGGCAGAAAATTCCTGTCTGGCCTTGCCCAGAGGAAATTTTTACAGAAGTATTAAGGAACTGAAGTTTACTGCCCAGCTAACTGCAGGATTAGCAGGCAAGAATTTATTTCAGCCCAGGTACCTTCACCCCATGTGGGATTTGGGTTCATTGCTGTGTCCAAACCTCCTGCACTTTTTCCATCCCAGTCCCTTCAGATCACCCAAACCTCTGCTCTTCAGCTTTCAATTACAGCCCTGGCAGGACATCACAAGGTTTTCCAAACCCACCAGACTGGGCAGGGCAGGTTATCAGAGAACCATGGAATATTAATGTTGGAAAAGTTCTCCAGGATAACTGAATCCGACCTTCCACCACGTCCCCGAGTGCCACAGCCACGCGCCTTCGGCACATTTCCAGGGATGGTGACTCCCTGTTCCAGTGCTTCCCCACCCTTTTTCTGGGAGCAAACTTTCCCAAATCTCCAATCTAACCCCCTCTGGCACAAGCTGGGGCTCTCTCCTTGGTGCCTTTTTTGGGCTCACTTTAGAACAGAGGCCAGACAGGATTAAGGAAATAAAAGTGGGTATATTTAATATTTAATGAAGGGCCTTCAGGTACATTTCAGGGCAAAGCCTCCCCAAGGGGCGACACCCAAAATGGACCAATGTCATGAATTTTTCATATTTTTATAAGTTTGGTCCATTTACATATCAGGGGTTAATCCTCTAATTACAGCTTCAGGTAATGTAGTCATTTACTCCAGTTTACTCCTCTCCAACTCGCTTTTATTTGTACTTTTTGGGCCCTGAGGCTGTAGGTGATGCCAGGAGAGGCTGCCTAGAACAGAAGCTGGGCAGAGTTAAGGAATAAAGCAGGGATTTATTCAAAGGCCTCACAGGACACACCTTGGGCAGTGCCAGAGCCCAGCCNTGCCTAGAACAGAAGCTGGGCAGAGTTAAGGAATAAAGCAGGGATTTATTCAAAGGCCTCACAGGACACACCTTGGGCAGTGCCAGAGCCCAGCCCTGGCTCCACCCAAGATGGACAATGAGTCACAAGATTTCACACTTTGATCAGCTCTGCTCCATTTCCGTGCTGGGTTCAGTGTCCAATTCCAGCTCCAGGTTCTGCAGTCCCACCCTCGCAGGCTGCTCCCCTCCATCCCCTGCTCTTGGCACTTTTGGGGCTGAAGCTGCAGCAGTGTCCTGAGTTCTGGGGCTGGAAAAGGATTGTTGTGTGTGCCTGAGCTGTGAGGAGCACTTACTTACTTTATATGTGTTATAAAACTTCATACATACAAGACTATATAGTGTGCATATATATATATATATACACACACACACACACATATATATCATATAAATTATATACATATATATTATATATATTATATATATACACATATATATTATACACATTATATATATATATACTATATATACATATACTATGTATATATAATATACTGTATATAGTATATATGCTATATGCTATATAAAGTATCTATATATACACTATACATATATGTACCATATATTATATATATACTATATATGATATTTTATATATTTATATATAAAATATCATATATATACTCTATAGTGTATATGTACTATATACACTATATATACTATATATAGTAAATAAAGTCTTACTACTGTAGTATATAGAAAATGGTATATATAGTCTTGCTACTATATATAGACTATATGTAGTGTATAATATAACAAGTTCAGAGCTATACACGAATGCAGTACAGAATCTGGAAAATATCAAAGCTAAAACTTAAGGCGTCATTTGGTGCCCTTGAGTTTCAGGCTTAGAGGAATTGTTTTTTCTGACCGAGACATGAAGGCAGTTAACTACACTTTATTTGGAGTTTAGTTATACCCTAAGCACTAGAGGATTTGAAGAACAGCAAAGCTGGAACCCCAAGGCATCACGCTCTCCTCTGTCGCTGCCCCTCTGTGTTGCAGTGTCAGAGGCCCTGAGCAGCAGCAGCAGCAGGAGCCTGCTCGTGGCCACCATCGTGATGCTGGTGCTGGCCCTGCTCAGCTCCCTGCTCAGCGCTGGCTTCACCTGCACCAACACTGTCAGCAACCCCTACCAGACATTCCTGGGACCCATCGGAGTCTACACCTGGAATTCCCTCTGTGGTGAGTGCCATTCTCATCCTTATATACATTATATATATTCCTTATCTATATCTATCTATCTATGTCTATCCCTATCTATCCATCCATCTACATATTCCTTATATATATATATTCCCTATATATAGATAATATATAATATATAATATATAATATATAATATATAATATATAATATATAATATTAAAATATAGAATATATTTTATAATTATACACTATATAATTATTATATAGTATGCAGTATATAGTATACTATATATTATTTATTATATTTATATTTTATAGTTTATAGTTTATATATTACATTGTATCATCTATTATATTGCATATTACATATTGCAATATTACATATTATACTTCACATAGATAACACATATTATATATATTATATAATATATATTTTATATAAATATAAAATATTTATAATATATAAATATATATATAAAACACACACACATATATAATATATTAGATATAACATATATAGATATTTATATAAAACCCCCCCCACACACATATATACACACATATACATATATACATATATACACATATACATATACATATATATATATACACACATATTCTGACATTAAGGAACATAGATATGCACGAAGAAACACCTGGAAACACATTCTGCTTTCTGGATTTGGTTTTTAACTGTGCCTCCCGGCACACCTGAAAACCACCTTTTAAATATGATTAAAATACATGATATTGCAATCAAATAATATTTATATGATAGTATTTAGAGGGAGGCAGCAGCAGTTTGGAGGAGTGAGCTGTGACAAAAATTATTTCCCTCTTTAAAAAATAAAATTCACAGGTGAAAATAAGTTTAAAGTTATTTAAACATATTAAAAAAGGGTGGATATGCTGAGTCCTTAGAGCTGTGAATCTGTCCAAGAGTCTGGAGGTGGAAACCCCAATTCCTGCTGGGATTGAGCCTGGCTGCTCCCAGCCCTCCCTGTGCTGCTCTGGCCACCACTCAGCTCTCACACTCAATTCCTCTCCAGAAGATTAGCTGCTCCTCTAATAATAGGTTTGCACTTGAATCATTTCCTTTTAATACATCTGATTACAGAGTACTTCAGCACAGGAATTTTGGCCCTCAAAAGCTCTTCAGGTCCAGGGAAAATGCCCCCAGCAGCATCCCCCTGTCCTGGGGACAAAACCAGACCTTGGTGGCAGTGGAACAGTGCAGATATCTCAATTGTTACAAGTGTAGGTGTGAAAATCACCCATTTTTAACACAGATGCTGAAACAGCTGTGAAACACAGAAAAGTGAACAAAGCTTAATTAGACAATTATTCACCCCTGAGACAAGCAGATCACTGTCTCATCCCATGGGAAGGCTTTTCCTGAGCCAGCCCCTGAACCTGCAGGCTCTGTCTGAAATGAAAGGACCACGGGCTGGCCAAAATGAAAATTTTGGGGAGAAAACAAATTCTGGTGTTGGCTGAGAGCTGTGGTTTCTTTTAACAGCCCTGCAAGTGCTGTGACCTGGAAGGTTGTTTTGCTGTGGGTGCATTTTTCTGGGAAATCACACATCATTTCATGTGGGAGGTCATCTTGGAGTGCCTAATTCTCCTGGCAGGGCTCTCCTGAATAAAAAATGAAGCTGTTTCAGCGTGAGCTGGGCAAGGATGAGGTGCCTGGAGAGCAGGAATGGAGCTGTTCCTCCAAAGTTCAGAGATTACAGCTCTGTTAGCACGAGGAAAGCACAGATGCAGCACCAATATTTAGATAAATGTCAAAGCAGCTGAACTTTTACATTTGGGAGGCTGCAAGAAATAAACCCAGATCTAATAAGACATCACATTTTGACTTCTCCCAGGCTCATCCAATAATTCAAGTTGGAAAGAACAGGAGGTCTCCAAGTCTAAGTTCTTGGGCCAACCCTGAGCACAGACTGGGATGCTCAGGGCTTTATCCAGCTGTGATATTTATCCAGCTGAGACATTTTATCCAGCTGTTTTGATTTTATCCAACTGTGAGACTGCCCATCCAAGAATTTGGGCTCATATCAAACAGACATTTACAAATCACCAAGGGGGTGAATACACAATAATCATCAGCACTAAATTAAATGAAAAAACCTTGAATTAAATGGACTTTTCTAAGAATAATCAGTGAGAATCCAATAATTTTAGATATATCACTGCCTATACCAAAACACCTGTCAGATACTATTGGGTGGGGCAAAAATTCTTTAAATGCCCCCATGGAATGGCTAATATTAGATAAATTGATTAAAATCCCTGGATTAGGGCAAGGATTAAAGCAGATTACATATATGATATGATATGATATGATATGATATGATATGATATGATATGATATGATACGATATATTATTAGATATATGATTAATGTAATATAATATAGTATAATATAATGTGATATGATATAGTATAATGTAGTATAATATAATGTGATATAATATAATATAATATAATATAATATAATATAATTAATAATATAATATAATATAATATAATATAATATAATATAATATAATATAATATAATATAATATAATATAATATAATATAAATGTCACTACACAAATAGCACTCCAGTTCCTCCTCTAAAATTTGCATTTCTGTTTTGCAGGAGTCCTCACCCTCATAGCCATGATCCTTTTCCCTGTGAACGTGGAAGGGAACAGGCTGTCTGAAGAGCTGGCCCACAGCTGTTCCAGCTCCCTGCAGGATCACCTTGGATCCAAACACAACTATGGATATTCCTACTGGATCATGCTGCTCATCCTTTTCCTGAACATTGCTTCTCTCATCATCATCTATTTCTACGACCACGCCAGATATTCAAAGAAGAAAGAGCAGGAAAGACCCATAGAGAATGCACCAAAGGATGTTATTCTGTTTTAAGGACTCCTTGAAAAAGGGGGTGTGAAGGACTTTAATGTGGACAGCAAATTTCCATTTGCTCTCAATTGCGTGCACACTTCAATTCCCAGATTGTTTTGAGGACACAAAGGCCTGGTTTGGTTTTGTGCCTTTGAGCAGGAGGATCAAAGCCGTTGTTTTGTAAAGCCTGCAGACACCAGGATCCCTTGGGATGGGGAGAAATCACTGAGGTGCTGCTGCTCCCTCTTCTCCTTGCTCTGCCCAGGGATCTCCTGCAGGTCTGGAGCCTCCTGGGCCTTGTGGCCAAAAGCCACAGAGCACGGAGGTGGAGTCCCCATCCCTGGGGGATTTAGAGCCCTGTGGAGGTGGCACTTGGGGACACTGGTGGCCCTGGCAGTGCTGGGGAATGGCTGGACTCCATGGATTTTCCATGGACTTTTCATGGACTTTTCCATGGATTTTCCATGGACTTTTCATGGACTTTTCCATGGATTTTCCATGGACTTTTCAATGGATTTTCCAACCTAAACGATTCAACAGTTCCATGAGAGCAGAGAAGCCCAGTGTCTGCAGGTTACTAACGCACAGAAACACCAGGGAAATCCTGCTTAGGCCCTGCCCAGAGCCAAGGGCAAGGCCACACCTCGGGCAGGTGAGCCCTGCCCCTCTCCACATGTCCCCAGGTGATGATTCCAGGGGTGATTCCTGGCCAGGGCCATCTCCTTGCCCACTTTGAGGAGTGTTTCATGTGCTCACAAAGTCACAGGGCTGCAGGACTGCCCAGGAGTGGGGAAATCACAGCTCCATTCCCTCCTCACTCCTCCCAGGGAATGGGCACTGGGACCTTGGGACAGATCCAAAGTGCAAAACCCAGCTCAGAGCATGTGTCCAGCACTTCTGCCCCTTTGTCCCTCACCTCTGCAGCCAGGAGAGACTTTTTTTATTCCTTTAAAAAGAAAAAAAGGCCTTTATTTCCTTTCCAGTGTGGTTTTCAGTCACACTCCACATCTGTCCTGTGATACAAGAGGTGCTCGTGGAGATAAAGCAGCACTTTGAAGAGGGGATGAGGAGATACAAGAGGTGAATCCTCACTATTTATGTCACAAAAATAAAGTTTGGAGATGAAAGCAGCCAGCACTTTGTGCAGCTGAGCTCTTTCAAAGGAACCAAAGCAGAGGGATTTCCCATCCTCCCTCTGAGGGCACAGTGGGGAATAAAATAAAAATAAAAGAGGATTTCTAAGACTTGAGGGGTGGCACAGGTCAATAAAATCAGGGCTGATCTTTGCCTGGAGATGCTGGGGAGGGCTGGAAATGTTATGGTGGAGCCAAACATTTGCTAGTTTTGCTTTGGCTGCAAAAATTGTCAGAGTTTCAGAGTCCATCTGTCAGTGTTGGGCACAGCCAGCATCTGTCACACACCACAGCTCTGCTCAGGGGGCCTTGGTGGAGAGATGGAGTCAGAATCATTTTTAGTATAAAAATTATACTAAATTGTACAGTCTGATGGATGGAAAATTATTCTGACTCCTCCTCTCCTCCAGGAGGAGCCAGAATTCCAGCTCTGGAGAGCTCAGAGGGGTCTGATGGAGGGATGGAGTCAGGATAATCCAGGAGGAGCAGGAATTCCAGCAGGAGCTTCCCCTTGCCTGGGAGTTTGTGCTGCATCCAAACACTGGTTTGGTGTGGTATTTTCTGGGGTCCTGATGGCAGGAAGGAAATTATGAATCTGACTCCATGTTCTTAGAAGGCTAATTTATTATTTTATGTTACTGTATTATATTAAAGGATGCTATACTAAACTGTAGTAAAGAATACAGAAAGGATCCTTAGAGAAGGTTTAACAAGACACTAATTAAAAACTCGTGACCTCTTCCAGAGCCTCAACACAGCCTGACCATGATTGGTCATTAAGTTAAAATAATTCACATGAAACCAATCAAACAATCACCTGTTGGATAACCAATCTCCAAACCCCATTCCAAAGCAGCCAAACACAGGAGAAGCAAATCAGATAATTGTTGTTTTCATTTTTCTCTGAGGTTTCTCAGCTTCCCAGGAGAAAAAGTCCTGGCAAAGGGATTTTTCGGAAAATGTGACAGTGACAGTTTGGGAAATGACAGAAATCCTGCTTTGGGTGCCTGCTGGGAGCACGTGGCTCTGTTAAAATCAGACCGGAGGTCTCTTGTTTGCCTGCAGACACAGAAAGTGGCTGTGTAACAAATCTCACCTGCTTTGATGTGAGTGCCAGATCAAAGCCACCACAACACGACAAAAACCCAAATTAAACAGGAGTTCAGCTTCCAGCTGACTAACAAAGCTACCTCGGGATTCTTCCTCTGCATGTTTTATTTCAGTTTGAGGGCAGAAATTCCCTTCCCAGCACATAGAGCTGCTCAGGGATGGAGCAGAGGGATGGGGCTGAGAGCACCTACATATCCCTGCCCCAACCCCAGTGATTTGGGGTGATAAACTGCAGGGTACAATGTTTACAGGCAGAATTTTAAATACAGAAAGTTTGCATTTTCAATTTGCTCCAAAAGCAGGCACCCAAGACAAGCTCAAATTCAGAAGTTCTCTGTGAGCTGCTGGTAATTTCTCCTGAATTAGGGACCAACCAACCAACCAACCAACCACAGCAGGAGGGAACTCACAGAGCTGGCACCGACTTTTCAGCCTAAAATTCCCTCAAATGCTTCCTTAAAACTCTCTGCCAGTGCTGGGAAGTGGCAGCAGAGTACTGGGTGCAGAGGGGAGTTAGAAATGATAGAATTGATTATATATCTACATATATTGTATATAATAAATATAATAATTATAATATACATAATATTATAATAATATTATATATAATATGTATTATATAATATATATAATATATAATATATAAAATATATAATAAATATATACATATATTGTATATAATAAATTATAAAATAAATATAATTTATTTTATATTAATATATATTATATACATACATTTTACATAGTATAATAAATAAAAATTATATTAAAAATATAAAATATTTTTAAATATATATTTAAATATATATATTTAATATATATTTAAATATATATATAAAATATATATTTAAATATATAAAAATATATAAAAATTATAGACATAAAACATATAAAATTTTATATATTTATATATAATTTATTATAAATAAATAAATAAATAAATATATATATATATAAATAAAAATTATAGCTGCCCAGAGCAGCTGTGGCTACCCTTGGATCCCTGGTGTTTACACACAAATTCACACCATATAAACCTTCTATTAAACTTTAAAAATTCTCTCCAAATCCACTTCCCACAGTGTCCCAGGCCAGCTTGGAGCACCCTGGGACAATGGGAGGTGTCCCTGCCCCTGGAATTGGCTGAGTTCAGGGCTCCATCCATCCCCAAACCACCCTGTGATTTATCTGATCCTGCTCCCAGGCTCTCCTGCCTTTCACCCAGCCCAGCCTGCCCCAGGGCAGCCAGAGGAATTTTCCCTGAGCTCTCTGTAACAGAGATGATGAGCTGAGGCTGTGCGTGATGGAGAGCATTGATTGTCACTCCCCAGCAGGGAGCTGTGCAGTGCAGCAGCTCCTGGGGACAGGGATTGCTTTTATTGACTCAGCCTCTTTGCCTCTGGCTAACAGCAAAGCTGCTCTGCCTCTTTTCCCCTGTAATTGTGAATTAACCAGCTCTGCATGCTGCCCAGGAGCTGTGCCCACAGCAGAAGTTTTTGGATTTGCCTGCCTGCAGCTTTGCAATGTTTATTATTAAATGTTTTCAGCCGACTGCTAATTTACCAGGCGTTGAGGATCCTCTGTGGTTTCAAGGAAAGCTGCCTTCATTCAGCATTTCTGCTGTGTGGTGTGACTTTTATCCAGTGTGAAACTTTGAGAGTGAACTATAAACCTCAAGTAGATCTGGTATAAATAAAATCACAGATTTAGAGGATGGCTGGTTGGAAGGGAGCTTAAAATTCATTCCATGGGCAAAGATACCTTATACTATCCCAGTGCTCCAACCCCTTGGGCACTGCCAGGGATCCAGGGGCCGCCACAGCTGCTCTGGGCACCTGTGCCAGCTCCCTCACAACAAAAAAAAGATTTTTTCCTAATATAAAAAGAAAGATTTCTTCCTAATATATAACTTAAATCTTTCCTCTTCAATCCCAAGCCATCCCTCCCTGTCCTGTGCGCCTGCAGAAAGCAGGGTGAGGATGTATGGCCCAGTCAGTGTTATCTATGATTGTTTTAAACCCTGCAATTCAATCAGGATCACTTTAGCAGGAGCATCCAAGAGATTTATTTAGCCAGAGAAGAAGAAGTGATTTATTGACTCAGAGCAAGCATTATGGGCAGCAAGCAGGGACTGGGAGTGCGTGATCCAAATCCAGCGGACATGGAGTCAGCCCAGCCTGTCCTGGTTCTGCTCCTGTGCTGGAAAGGGAATTTTGCTGGACAAGGAGGATCCTCCCAGCTTTTTATTCCCATTTTCCTCCCGGCTGTTTGCTCCGGGAGCCATGAGAGGGCAGCAGCCTCCTTTCTAGGATTCCTTGGCTTTGCATCCCTGGCTTATTTTTGATGAAAAGTGCATAGAAAGGCAGGGAGGGACAGGGAGAACTTCCCTAACTCCACATGCCGAGGAATATTTGATTTCACCTCCTTAAGACTCCCAAAAAGAAAAAGTATTTCCCAAATTAAATTAATTTTAAGGCTGTAATAGACATCACAGCTCTGTGGGAACGGAATAGTGATGGGTTCCTGGGAAAAGTTTTTTGCTCATTCCCAATATTATGTTGTATAAATATATATATACACACACACACATATACATATATACATATATATACATATATATATATGTATGAGGAAACTTGCCCCAAAACCTCACAAAGTGAAAATACAATATTTTTTTTAATTAATCAGAACTGACAAAGTTATTGATTAATAATGGTCAGAAATTCAAAAAGAAAAGGGGATTTTACACTGCACAGATCTGACAAACAAGGATAAAAATACTGAGTTTTGCAAAGGTAACCAAGGCAACGTTCACTTATATTTCTTGATCAATACAAGTGTGAGCAAAACCATCATCTCAAATAAAAATAGAGCTGTATCACTCAAAAAACATTTTATAAAAATGATTATTTCTTCCCTGGATGTAAGGAAGAGAGAATCTCTCAGTTGTAGATAGCATCAGTTCTGTGCTTTGTTAAATCTCCAAGAAAATAAACCAGAGCCCACCCAAGTGCCCACTAGAAGGAACCTGCTGCTGGCTGGGGCTGTCTGAAAGGCTGAAATTTCATTTATAAAGGAGATTTGTCAGCACATCCATTGCTCTTTTCCAGGCCTGGCACTTGGGCTGCAATGAGCATCCCTCAGCATCCATCTCCATCTGTCATTCCTGCCTGGGAGCAGGGGCTCAGACTTTGCTCTGCTCCCACCTCAGGGTCCCCCATCCCCTCCTCTCCTGCCCTCACAAGCTCAGGTGCCCACATTTCCTGCATTTTGAAATAAACTGCATTGGTTTTCCCAGCACTTTGCTGGAAACGAAACTTTGCACAGGTGGGAAAACACAAAAATAGAATTCGAAGCCACGTTGAAACCACCAATGAAGATTTAAATGTTATTTTCAGCCTCTTCTCTTACAACTATCCCAGAGCTCCCTGCAGATCTGAAATTATACTGGATTTTAATAACACCTCTGGGTTTAATAGGAGATAATGAATGAAATCTGCCCACAGATGGGAAAGGATCCTGC